CGCAGGCCTCGGGCTTCCTGGTCTGCGCGGGGCCCCGCGCGGCCCTGCGGCGGCCGCGGCCGGGGCGGCGGCGTGGGTGCTGGGGGCCGGGCGCGCGGTGCGGGGTGCGGCCGAGCGCAGCGCCGGCGGCGGGGACCCGGTCCCGCAGAGCGCGGAGTCAGGGAGGGGCCGGCGCTCGCGGTGGACACCGTCACCCCCGTGGGACAGCCTCACGACGTGCCCGGAGTGACCCACGATCGGTGGCACGGCCGAAGTCCGAACCCAGCCAGATCGAGAAGCAGGCTCGGAAACGGCAAGTGACAGCGCGCTGGTGAGAAAGCGGCGCTTTGAACCCAGAAATCGCTGGCTCCGGAAGCACTGCGGTGTGATCTTCCGATCATCCACACGTCGTGCCGTGCAGCGGCCGGAGGGGGCCCCGGGAAGACGGGCCGGCCCCAGGGTCGCTGTAGGCGGGGGAGAGCCTTGCTTCGTTCTCGCAGCGTGTCGGCGGCCAGAACGTGGTCCCTGGAGTCAGCCCGCCTGGGTTTGCGTCTTGGCGCGCGCTCTTACCGGTTGTGTGATGGGGGTGCAAGTTACTTACCCTCTGTTCTCTGTGCCCCGGTCCCTTTATCTGCAAAATGGGAATCAGGCGGAGAAGCGTGCCCAGCTCATAGGGGGGTTGCGAGAGTTATAAAATGGTACATTTAAGATGTTCAGGACAGTGCCAAGGACACAGTGAGCACTCAGTGGTCGTAATAGTTAACTATAATGAAGCCTCCTCACTTTTCCAACACTCCCTTAGTTCTAAATTCAGCTTCCGCTGGTATTCTAGCTGTACCTGCCTCGCACTGCACTGAGAATCATTTCTCACTTTCCTGCTTCACTGACTCATTTCACACACAAGACAGAGGGCCCATCGTGTTACCAGACACCCCTCTATGTGCTGGGGGCATGGCAGTAATCGTGACAGAAAAATCATTGCTCTCTTTCCCTAACCTGCTGCTTTGCCCAGTATCCTTCCAACGCGTTCTCTGCTGCCTGAGGAGCCATTCTTCAAGGGCTGGGAGGAGAAGGGGAAGCGCGGGGGTTAAAGATGCCAGCCTGACGAAGGTACTCGTGAAGCCTGAGAAAATACCTTTCAACAGAATTAAAGTCAGATCGTGGAGGGGACTTTCAATCTGGAGTGATTAAACTCCAGGGAAGGCAAGTGTGAGGCCACTGTCTTAGCGGACCTGACGGTGCCCTCTGCAGACTACCTGCTTGTGTGTTTTCATTTTGAAGCTAGCATTGATGGAGTGTACTTAGCACTTGATGTGGATTGTATAATTAATCTTGATAAACCATCTCCTCAATTGGTACACAAGGAAAAACTGAGGCACAGGAGTTAAGTATTTTGGCCGATAAAATTAGTAAGGGCAGAGACAAGATTTAATTAGAATTTTGTCGTACCCATGGGGTGCCTGGGTGGCTCAGTCGTTAAGCATCTGCCTTCGGCTCAGGTCATGATCCCGGGGTCCTGGGATGGAGCCCCACATCGGGCTCCCTGCTCCGCGGGAAGCCTGCTTCTCCCTCTGTCTGCCACTCCCCCTGCTTGTGTTCCCTCTCTTGCTGTGTCTCTCTCTGTCAAATAAATAAATAAAATCTTTAAAAAAAAATTTTTTTTTTGTCGTACCCAAGCCTGTATACACTCTGAAGTCTGGGAAGAGAAACTGGGCCAGGATGAGGCATGTCCTCCCTCATCCAGCTCCCTAGGCCACAGGACAGAGATGTCAGATGCCCTAGTGAGTACTTGGTATTGGAATTTCCAGATATTCTTGTGGTTAAAGAACTCTGTAGTCCTGTCCATCTGACTCTCGGTCTCTACAAGGAGGCCCAAAGGTGAGAAGTACACGCTGGAGGTAATGATGATTATCGTTATTGTCTGAATCAAGGGGCGCTCCAGACCATTAAGATTGTATGCTCTTCAAGTCGGGACTGAGCCCTAAAATTCTGTAATTCCAGCAGTTCAGCACTCTGCTGGGCATACTACACAACACTTGCGATGTCAGGGAGGCAATTGCTCCCTTGCAGAGATGGGGAGAGGTTGATTCTGGGGAGTGAGGTCCGATCAGAACCTGGGCTGATGTGAGGATTTCCCCTCTGAAGAAGGCGCCTCCTAGTCCCAGGCAGGACAGAGGGTATTTCCTAAGCCCCAGCTTCCCTCCTGTGCAGCTCTTTTAGGACACAAGAATAGCATCTACCATACTCAGTGCAGGATGGGGAAGGGTCGGTCCTGTGGCTTGACGTTCCAGAATTCAGAAGTACTACTTCTTGCTTCATCCACTATTCACCCCCGAGAACTCGCACTAAAGCCGCATATGAGTTATTTTCCCACCGACACTCCTGCCCTCCCTTTGTTGGCTAATTCCCTTTGGTGACTGGTTTTGCAGCTCCCTTCCTGTGTTTATTTCATTGTACAGGAAAGGGAGAATTCCGAGTGGGCCTGTCTCCCTGCTGCCCACGTTCAGTGAGCTCCTTAATCCTTGGCCCTGTCCCCAGGCTGAGAGCCTGGTTGGAAGAGTACTGCCTGCCGCTAGAGCAACTGAGGGGGCCTAGGATGGCCGCCAGGGCTCCCGGGATGCTTGAGAGCTGCCAACACCAACTACCAGGGAGAGGGCTGTCCTCTCTGTGGAGGTACTGGAGAAGCCAGGAGGCGAAAGCTGGGGGGGGGAGGAAAGAAGTCAGAGATGAGCTCAAGGCCCCCGGAGAATGGAGCCTTTGTGTGGGGTACAAATGAGGGACAAGGGGGTGATTGTGTGGGAGGGCCGGAAGTGCCACACAGACTGGCACCACCACAGCCAGCACCAGATTCACCCCTCTCCTGCTCCGAGAACTCCCTGAGCCCCAGGGGACCAGTACCAGACCTGGTCAGGGAAAGCAGGGTGTGCCTGAGGCTGCAAGGGATGGAAAGGTGGAAAGGAGGATGTGCAGCCAGGGGACAGAGAGAGGTACCCCCTGCCATTATTCCAGATCCAGGGAACAGGAGACAGAAGGAAAAAGACAGAAGCAGCTTTTACTATATTTACATCCAACAAAACTTTGCAAGGAACAATCCTTACTGCGCAGTCAGGACCCTGGGTGGGTGAAGCATTCCCCACGGTGGAGTAGACGGGAAGGGTTAGGACTGGCCGGGGCCCCGGTTCTTCCTGAGGGGAGCATGGGGCTCCTCCAGCTCCCTCCTGACTTTCCAGGAGCTACAAACCACTGAACCATGGTGCCCTGTTTCCCTTCTCTTTCTCATCATCCCTAGGAACCTCATAAGCAAAGAGGCTGTGGCTCCAAAATAAATAACTTAAAATACAAACACTAAGGTAGAAAGATATGATGGAGGGCTTTGGGCTGCTTCAGCAGTTCCAGGGAAGAAGGGCCATCACTGGCGGGGAATGATATCCCTCCCTCCCATTCAGGGCAAAGGCTCAGTAGCTCTGTATCTTTCCAGTTGTTTTTTAAAACAAAAACTTAGAAAATGACCAGGGCAGAGCAGACCTGTGGGTACCCTGGAGGAGAGTTCCTGGTATAATCTGGGGAGGAACAGAGCTGTGCCAACTCCTGCCAGGCCTCGTACAACATCAGCGTGAACACACTGGGCAGGCTGGAGATGGGGGGTTGTGACTTTTGTTTACAGTAGGTCCCTCTTGCCCACATTTGGAGCCTACAGCTGGGCCTGCTTCCCAGCCCGTTCCCGACTCCTCTATGAAAGGAGTAGGAAAGCAGGGTAGCTCTAGAATCCGTTCTCCCCCAACCTCCCCACCCCAGGCTGGAGAGGAAAGCTTAAGGGTCCCTAGCATTCCAGAGGTGCTCCAAAACATTTCCGGCAATCAATGGCCTTTGGGGTGGGCATCTGTGCCCGTCGCTGCCTCAGCTCCTCCTTGCCCATGCTGCTGGCCAGCTTGTTAAAGGCAGACTTGTATTTCTTGTCGAAGGCCACTAGGGAAGAGGGTGGAGGTAGGTCAACAGACTACAATTCTCCCCCGCCCCCTGCCGACCCCCAACCCCAGATACTCCCACTCCTCGTCCCCTGCCCGCTCCCTTACCTATGTCCACACGGTCCTTGCCCAGAGCAGCCATAGTCAGGAACAGGATCTCACGGTAGATGCCCCTGCAGTGGGGGCAGAGGGTGGACTGAGAGAAAGGGGGTACGGGGCCGGGGACAGGCCAGGGACCTCCCAAATGGGAGCACCATACCTCTGCAAGTGCAGGCCAGTGGGAGGCGGCCCTAAAGTTTCCAGCAAGAGCCCTACAGCCTTGTGCACCTCGCTGAGACCCACATGGCGCAACACGGCCTCCAGCAGCTCCAGGCTGAGGGGCGCGGGTATGGGGCCTGGCCATGCCACCCGCTGCGGG